CTGATGAATTACACTTTTGTGAATTAATTGTCGTATGTGTAATTATTGCCTTTGGGATGTACCTAATTTGATAACTTTAAAAAAATATATTTCCGTTTAAGGTATCTGTTTGCAGGTCAGAAAATGAGAAAATGTAATTGTATAATACTCTGAAATGTAAAACAACAAAAAAAAACAAAACAAAAAACAAGCTGTAAATAAAATTGACTAAATCCCATAAGAAAGAGAAGAAAGAAGAAAGCTGGGGTAGCAATACTCATATCAGACAAAAGAGACGCTAACATACTTTTTTAAAAGACAAAGGACATGTTTATAAAGGAGTCACCCAAGAAGAGTCTATAACCGTGGCCAATACCGATGCACCCAGCATACAAGCACCTAAATGCATAAAGCAATTACTAGTCGACATAAAGGAAGAAGAAGTCCTCATGATGCAATAATAGCAGGGGATTCGAATACCCCATGACGTCAGTGACAGGTCATCTAGAGCGAACATAGATAATCAAACAGTGGCCTCGACTTCATAGACCCCTTTACAGCATTTCAGCCCGAAATCGCAGCCCTCGACTCACAGCAGAGTGAGAGCTGGTGGATAAACACGGCTTCCACGCCTTCAGGAGACTTCACTCTGAACTGAGTCTTCTGCTCTGAGTCCCATGTCCCCACACTGACAAGCTCCCCTTTGGGGGGCCGCCTGTCCCTTCCGGCCTCACCTCCTATATAAGCCACTTCCTCTCAACTTCTTATCTTAGCACCTACTTCTGGAGCTACTCCAACCAAGGCTCCCGGCCTTTTTCCTTCTATTATCCTTACCTCACTGCCATACTCCAAAAAAAGGAAAGCTTAGCAATTTTTAAAAAAATATTTTTTATTGATTTCAGAGAGGGAGAGGGAGAGAGAGAAACATCAATGATGAGAGAATCATGGATTGGCTGCCTCCTGCATGCCTCACACTGGGGATCAAGCCTGCAACCCGGGCATGTGCCCTGATGGGGAATCGAACCCTGACCTCCTGGTTCATAGGTTGATGCTCAACCACTGACCATGGCGGCCGGGCAGCTTAGCAATTTTTGAGGGTCAAAATCCAGCGTTGTCCACAGAGCCCATTTCTCACCTAGAAACCTATTTCCCTGTGTTTACAGCCTAGGAGCTTTGCAAGACCTGCAAAATGTTGAGACCCAAAACCTACGGCACTGGCTCGAAAATATCAAAAGAAATCTGCAACGCCCCCCGAAATATCTGCTCCTTTGAAACGTCTACAAAATGTAGTAGGCAGCCAACTGGTCAACCACTGCTCAGGTAGCTCCACGTGCAGCTGTGCACAGACTGGAATTGGTGAGGGGTGTGGGGGTCCGCGTGCAGCTGTGCACGGACTGGAATTGGTGGGGGGTGTGGGGGTCCGCGTGTAGCTGTGCATGGACTGGAATTGGTGGGGGGTGTGGGGACGTTTTCAGGGCTTGGGAAGAGGAAGGGCAGAGGCTGGACAACATGCTGATGGGCCGTGGATGTTAGAGACCAGGCCGGAGACCCGTGTGTCCAAGACAACACTTGGACTCTTCAACACAGAGGGGGGCCCTGGCCAATTTGGCTCAGTGGATAGAGCATCGGCCTGTGCACCAAAGGGTCCTGGGTTCGGTTCTGGCCCAGGGCACCTACGGCGGTTGCAGGCTCCTCCCAGGCCCGGGCCCTGGTCCGGGCATGTGCAGGAGGCAGCCCAGCGATGTTTCTCTCACATTGATGTTCCTCCCTGTCTTTCTCTCTCTCATCCACTCTCCCCACCACCGCAAACAACAACAACAAACAATGGAAAAATAGCCTCAGGTGAGGAGTAACAAAAATAAATTAATAAACAACAACAAAAACAAAGGAGCGAGGGGGGCGCAAAAATGGCCCCGAGTTATATATAGACCAGGCTCTGCAGGCAGCAGTCTTTTCTGGGGAGAAGATGTCACCCACGTTCAGAATCCAATATTCGCTCCAGCCTTGTTCTGCCTGCTCTGGGATCCATGCTCCGCAGAGCAGTTCCTAGGACGTCACCGTCTCCCCTGCCGGATGCGGACATCTCCGGGCCCCTCCCCACCCCCCTCTGCATCCAGCTGTGACTGGGAGGCGGCCGGGGGCCCAAGGTGATCCACTCATCAGGCCCAACCGAAGCCACCCGATGGGCAGGGCTCTCGCTGCTCCTTGATACGAAAGGTGTTTTATTTCTCGCCTCTTTGTTTTTGTCACTGCGCGCAGTCTTCCGGTGTGGGGATTAATTAAAGTGTAAACATTAAATATTGATTGATGCATTATCAGCGTGGAGCAGTGGCCTCCCGCCGGATTGATTCCCATGGTGATTTATTGTCATATTTGGGGAGTCATTTCGCTTGATAACCAAGAGGGATGGCCTGCATCTCCCTGCCCCCCGCCCCCCCGCCCCC